ACGCTTGAGGTATTCGTCCAATCACTAGGCACTGTATAGTTGGCCAATCAAGCACACCTCGCTTTTTTCAGACCGATGAGCTTTGTAAAAATCGACGCGTTTCAGAAGGCGGGGCATAGAGGAGAAACAATAATGTACAGTATGTGGAAAATAATGTTTTTTTTTTTACTTTAAACCGCATAAACACATTTCATTACACCAAATACACAAAATAATGTTCTTTTTAGCAGCATCATATGACCCCTTTAAGGAACATGAGATGATGCATACATTTAATAACGTTAGGGAAAACTGGCCTTTATATAGCTAAAAAAATAATTTTTAGTATGCAGTAGTAATTTCCTAACAACAAAATTGAGGCCACTGGCAATGCTGAGTGGCTAGTAATTTTGGAAAACCACTAGCCACAGTGGCTGGTGACCAAAAAAGTTAATGTCAAGCCCTGAACATGGTATTACCATGGTACCGTGACAAAAAAAGCTAGCGATCAAATCAAATAATAAGGCCTCTAAACTGCTCTCATACAGCTACAATGGTATATTTGTTTGTTTGGCTCTGTAAAATAGGCTAAATCATAACAGACTTGGTAAAGTTTAAAGGTGTAGTTTACTTTACCAGCAGAGCAGTGCGGATGCAGGCGTGCGGCTGCGGCGGTGAGTGAAACTCCGCTCCTTCCCGTAACTGGCGTTCAATGAAGGTCCTGTACTCCTCCGGGTTATTCTGAGACATGTCATCTAACATCGACCAAAACTGATTGACCTGCTGCAGAGCTGCCTTATTATCATAGCCAGGGATTTCCATGCTCAAAATGTACCGAAACTAGTCTAACAACTAAACAAAATGCTAGTTAAATATCCTTCCAAAAGAAGTGTAACAAGTTAACGTTACTCGCGCTGACTGACTGAAGGCTAAAACTAATATGAAAACAGTTTGGAGTTAGACGGATTTTTACCAGATAACGTACAATATTTAGTAACAAATGCTTGGTATATTGGTGCAAAAAAAAAAAAAAAAAAAAAAAGTCTTGCAT